GATCAAAAGTTAGTAAACTGCCTGATTGGTGACGGTATTTGGCGAAAATGCCAATCAGGCATCAATCAGGCACCAATCAGTCACCAATCAGCTACCTGATTGGTGACCGATTGGTGCCTGATTTTTCACTTTTCAACCTGTGTATAAGAACCAACCAAGGAAATTTTTCTTGGAGTTTAACAGCATGATGATATGGAACTCCATCACATGTTACTATTACCCATTTACGCGTTCCATCCTGAATTCCTGATATTTTTTTTATATGCTGAAGAACTTTTTCAACATTTGCTATTAAATTAGGATTAATATTAAGCGGATCAGGGATATATATTTCAGGAATACAAACACCTTCATCAGCAACTGATCGTTGAGTCATACTAATTTGTGGAACAGGAGCAATTTTAGATTCATCTTTAAAGATATGGGGTTTAAAAAGAATTGGTTTTGTTAATTTGTTTCGTGAATTTATTTCTAATAATTCAGATGCATATTGTTTTTGTAATTCAGAAAGTATAGGTAATCATGATCGGCATTTTGGACAAACTTGTTTTCGATTTTCAATGTCTTTTTCATTACAATTTGAACAATATTTATCATACCCATTATTTGAAATCATACTTTCTATAAGAGTATTAATGCTGTTATTTGAAGATAATTTTTCCATACATAGCTGATCAAGGATCTTGGAAAGATAATTATGAAGTTCTTTATTGAATTCCTCCTCCATTTGAGATGAAAGATCAAAAAGTTCTTCATATTGAAGTCGATTAAGAGAGTTATGCAACCAAGGAATATTAGTATGTTGTATTTCATTTTGAGATTTCATATTAAATGCAACAAAACTAGTAATAACATGAAAAATCACAGTATTGAATCCACGATCTAGATAGTTTTTTTGTCCTCTTTGTTCATTATCAAAAGCCAAAAATAAAAGTCCTTTAGGTAATGATTCTTGTTCTTTTGATAACTCATCCAACCATTTTTGAAATTGAACATAACCTCCTGCACTTGTAATATGATTATCAATATTAATAACTTTTTTTGAGCGTGCTAAAGAATATTTTATAGCTGATGCTGCAAGGTTAATCTCTGATACATACTTTCCATGACGCGATCCATATATTGCATCAACAGCAACAACTCTTTTGAAAAGTTTTTCTTGATTTGGAACATTAGTATTCCCATCATTTTGAGTTAAAATTTCAATGAACTTAACAATAACTTGATTACGATCATTTAGCTATGTTTGAGAAGTAAATTTCATAATTTGATCTAACGAAAACCTATCATTATTTCTAATTAATGATTCAACATCATCAAATACGCTTTTGCGTTCAGCTAATGCAATTTCAACAATAGAATCAATTCATTTTTGCTGATTGCTAAATCGAGAATCCCATTTTTGAGCAAGAGCTTCATTTTGTTTGCATTGTTTCTGATACTGGTCATTAATTTTGACTATATATTCATTAGCTTTAGTTAATCTTCCTGATAATTCCATTAATTCACGCCCTTGATTTTCTAATTGTTTTTGCAATTGTTGAATTTTAGATATTGTTTGTACATATTCAAATTCACCAGACACTTGGATACCAAAATCACGAGTACTAGCTTCAAATTCTGGAAATTGAGCGCCAAAATCACAAGTAGTTTCAAATTCTGGAAATTGGGCGCCAAAATCACAGGTGCTGGTAATATTTAATCCAATATCCAATACACTATTGTCAATGCTGTGACGCTTTCTTTTATTTTGATTTTGAAAAGACGTGGTTTGATCTGGATTTAAAAGGAACTGATAAAAGTGATTAGTAGATATAATTTGATTATAATGTTTTTCACATAAAGAATATAATTCTAAAGATGTTTGAAGGTGAATAAGTTCTGGAATAAAAATATGGTAAAGAAGGAGACGGCTAGCTACTGCTTTAGTATCGGCATGCCGCCACATTTGTGATGGTTTTGTTTCACATTTTCTCAACCCTTTTTGCTCATATGTGATTACTAAATTTGTGAAAAGACAAGGCAACTCCTTAGCGTGTGATTTTTTGCATGTTGTCACTACAATAAAATTAAGAAAAAAAGTCAAATAAAAATATAAAAAAAATGACAATGAAAACTCAATAAAAAAGCATTTAAATTGAAATTGTGTTATTTTATAGTCATTTTATGGTCTTCATACTTTTTTAAACGAGAGTTGATTATGAAAAAATATTTACTGATTATGAAAATACATACCTTTTATGACATTTTTTTATAATTACATTTTGCAGTTTCAAAAAATATATCATGAGAAATTCTTTCGCCAAATCACGTTAATACAACAGGGATTGACCAATTAAATGTTGGTGTAATTGCCGATCATTCTAGAATCATTCCAGAACAATGATCCATACACAGTCCAATTTTGGAAATATCCCAGACTGAAATATTCAGAACTCAATGATTACAGAAAGCATTCGTGCTCACAATATTAGAACCTTTAACAAAAGTAATTTTGTTCGGAAAGAAGTAGATCCTTAATTATGATCAGTTATAAGCTACTAATTTATTACAAATATGTTGCTTTTCTAGGAAAAATCTTTAGTCCGCAAATTAGAAAAATGTTAAGATGCAGAGAAAGATATGAAAACTACAATTTCTTCAAAAAAAAAAAGACAAAGACGATGAACAAAATGAAAGTGAAATCACAAATTATTTTCAATGATATTTTACTTTACTAAAAATAGCCAATTTTTTGAAATGATTTTGTAATAATTTTAAAATACTACAAAAATACATTTAATACATCAAAATGTTTTATTATACTTTTGCTATTATTTTGTAATTATATTGTATCTAGGTCTATAAAAATAACTCAAAATAATATCACAATAATTTTTTAATGTTTTTGTTATTATTTTATTATTATAATATAATTAACTTTGATATTATTTTAATATTTTAATCTCAAAAATACCTTAAATATATCTTGATATATTTTAAAAATTTTACAAAATAATTGCACAATTGTTTTGAAAGCCATTGTATCTAGGTCTATAAAAATATTTCAAAAAATTGGCCATTTTTAGTAAAGTAGGTACACTAATATGTTTTGTGAATATATTTAAAATAAAGTGATCACCAATAAAGTTGAACAAGAACAATTAGAAACATTACAAACTGGGGTATGTAAAATGTTATTAAATAATAGCCCTGTTCATTTCTAGATCATATCAGATTGACCAAAAAAATGTATAACCAATCAGATCATGGTTACAATTGAGCACAATTTTTGATTAATCGGATTGGTTTATATATCTATAATAGCTTATAGAGCAAAAATACATAGTTATTGTTTATTATATTTATTATAAAATCAATCAGGGAAAAACACCAATTTTTGTAAATTGGCTTGACTGACTGCTAACCACATCAGTAACCAATTATTTTGGAGTATAAATTTGCGATCAATCCAGTCTGATCTAGAAATAAATAGGGCTAATATTTTTTTTTGGTTATATTTACAGCAAATGGACATCTATTATACAGGTTGCAGTTAAAATGAAAATAAAGCAGCAAAAATTGATTAACTTTTTGATGAAATAAGGAAGTGCAATATATATATATTAGTTAGGCCATTTAAACCATTATTTCAAGTAGATGTGAAAGACCTATTTGAGAAAATAGCTCAAGATACTGATATTAAAATTGATCTTTCAAAATATATTGAAAAATATTTACAAGATTTACTTAATAAAGATATTAAAAGTGTATTTTTGAAAGTAAAAAATCCTTTCAGTAAAAATACATAACCTTTACTTTTATAAATGAGTGAAGTTTACTGGCATTTTATTTTTTATTATTATTATGAAAATTTTTGATGAAAAGACTTGGTCTGACCTAAAGATAGTCCCAAAACTGAAATATTTCAAATTTGCCAAAATTTCAAAACCGTAATTTGATATGTTTTCAAAGCCTAAATTCCAAAATCTGAAATAAATCCAAAATTCATTTTGGTTAGCCAATTAAAATTAATCATACGAACATTTCAAATATGATCATATGGACTGATTTGTTTTATTTTTATTTTTATTTTTATTTTTTATTTTTTATTTTTTATTAGCGATTAAATTTGTAAAGAACAATACAAATATATAAAATTTTATAATAATAGTTGCAGGTACCTGATTCTAAACTAAACGAATACTAACCAACTAGTTTCTATATAAGTTATGACCTGGATTTGAGACCTACTATAGTAACATACATTTAAGACGTTCTATCAACCTCGCTCTAAAAACCTGACTCCTAGGGTAAAATTAATTTTTTATTTCAACTCCTTAATACAACTGAACTCTGTTCAACTACTAACCCCTAAAAAAAGTAATAAAGAGCAGAGAGCGTAGTTAACTAAAACTATAAAACCCTGCATATTCGTTCCAAAGTATATATTTGATCATAAACTTTCTAAACCGTTAAAAAGGTTAACTGAAGTTGATTAATTTTCCTATTAGGATCAATATATTTATCTTCATTAAGATTTTCTTTAACTTTCTTGAGATTAACTTTTAATCTTCTTTCTTTTTCTTTTTGCTTCAAGCACCTATTAATCCAAAAGTTCCAACTTTTGTTAAAAATAAAATTTCTTAATAAAACCAGAAATTTATCTTGTAACTTTTTATTTTCAAAAATTAAGGCTGTATACGCTGCTAACTCACAAGAAATTATACCTTTAATCAAATCTATAAAGGTAATTTTCGTTTCACTATAGGTACGATCCCAAAATATCATTTTATTAATCAACTCATTATCAATAACAGGATCCTTTTTTACTTTAACTAATAAAGAATTACAAGTTTCTTTAAAAAACTCTTTTACTTCACAAATAATAGTATTCATTTCATCAGCACGTGACTCACACATCCATACGTGATTAAATGTTTCATCATGCTGTTCACAGAAGGAACATTTCCAATTATCAAATATTTTATGAGCTAAATATTTCCTTTTTTCTACAGTAGGAATTTCTTCAATCAAAAGGTTAACTGATTGTTTTTTCCGTTTTGATGAAAACATAGATGTAAAATATGTTGACTCAACTTTATTTTCAATGTCCTGATTAAACAGTAAAAATGTATAATGCCAATCAACATTAACATAAGGGTGTTTATATTTACCATTTCAATTCAAATTCAAAAATTTTTCCCAATGTTGTACCATTGATTTTTTCTTCAAAAATTGACGTAAATTACATTCTATTATAATATTACTAGCTGTTAATCCGTTGCTTTGCAACGGTATACATACATATAAAAAAAGCGTAACCTGCATGTAACAATTAATTCTGGCCGGAATTATGTGATCGGTGCAGAAATTTCCTTTTATGGAGTATTTGTGAAACTAAAATTCCCCTATTTTTGTGGGAAGCAAAATTTCCTTTTTTGGAAGTTGGTGTGACATCACGTGATAAAGTGCCCAATAGGAGCGATATTACGCAATTCAAATTTATTTATACAAGGTAGTCTAAATGTTACGGTTATACACAAAAACAATTATTATATAGTATAGATTCTATCGTAGAATATAGTCTAAATTATTCAGATTATTTGGCTTAAAAATTAAATTTGATAATTCGTCAGTATGAGTAATAAACTCATCTATGTAATTATTAAAATAATCATCACTATGTCCTTTAACTTTAATGAAATCTAAAGTAAGATTATTTGTAACAATAATTTCTCGAAGAATATTCCAGTAAATATTATTCTTTTTAATCTTAAAAAATTTCCTTGGCAAAATAATAAAATTATTTCTGTCTATAATATCATAATATCCTGTAATAACATTATTCGAATCAGTATAAATAGTGACTTCACTATTACTTGGTAAAACAATCAACGCTAAAATGACTGCTAACAACTCTGCTTTATTTGATGATGGGAAATAAGAAATTTCTGAATAAAAACTATGTAAAATTATATTATTTTTAACAATAATAAAACCAAAAGATATTGTACATTATTTAGACCCAAATCCACGAACTGAACCATCAGTGTAAATTTCAAATTTTCTAGTTGGACCTTCGAGTAATTGTCTTTGAATTATTAGTAATTAGTTTCGATTGTATAAAAAGTCTAACAGTTTTGTAATTAGATTATCATTTATTTTAACTAAGCGGTCAATTGATATTACTGATTGATTAATTGTCGTTTCATAATTTTTCCAATTATTTTTCATTATAACTTAGATCTGTAATATCTAGCAAATTTGTCTGTAAGGCCGGGCAAAAAAAAAATTTAGATTCTCGTGACCCGGCCAGGTCAGTTTTTCGAAAAATGGAAATTTTTTTTTTATAGTAAAAAATTTTTATCACGTGATTTTAAGTTTTTGGCTAATGTGTGTAAAAAAATTTTACATATGAAAAAATTTTACATATATAAAAAAAAATGCCGGCCGGCCGTGTCATTTTTAAAATTTTATGTCACGAGAATCTAAAAATTTTTTTTGCCTGGCCTAATATAGCTTTCAAATTATTATTGTTAAGCATTGACCTATGATATACACTATTGGATTGGATACCAATAATTAAACTATCGTTGGCATTAATTAAAATGTTACAATTGTAATTTTTTTTGCTTGATTGTTCTAGATTGTCTAATTCACATCCTGAACATTTCTGTAATTGAATAACTGAGGATCTAAAATCCACATTATTAATAACATTCAAATGTCCTATTATTAAATTATTTTGTCCATCAATTCCAGATTTTTTTATTAAAACACCTATTTCAATATTATTATTTCTGTTGTTCCAAATTCCAATAAATGTTAATTTTTTAGGAAGATTATTTCTATCTATTTCACATTGAGCCATATTATACCCCTTAAAATGAGAAACAGCTGACATTTTATATTCAGGTTTAAGGGTTTTTCCATCAATTGTAACAATATTTTGTAATTCTCTATACCACTTTTTGGGTTTAATATAATTACGTGTGTCTTCTCTAAAGGATTTCAGTTTTAAAATACACCAATTAATCAAATACGAATTAGAAATTCCTATTAACTGATCTAAAAACATAACTCCATCTTTTTTAATCTTATGAATATTATTAAAAAATTTTTCTGTTCTTAAAATATTTCTTACTGGTACATTACCTCCAGTTATCTTATATTTTTCTATACTTAATTTATTATTAACGGAAATATCTATATTGTTATATTTTAATATTTTGATGTTTTCTAAGATCCAATTATCATATTTTCTTTTACTATAAAATAATTTTTTATAAAAATTATTATCAAATGGAAATACTGATACTATATTATCTTTGATCCAAAATTTATGTTGTAGTTATTTAAGTCTGAGCGTCGTAATTTTTCCTAATAATCCAGTATTATTTAATTGTATTAGGAAATTCGTACTTTTTGCTTGTAATTGATTATCTGCTATATCTTTTATATTATAAATCAAATTATGATTAATTATTGCTGTTGGCATCCGCTAAGAGAATCTTAATTTTTTCCTGAAAGCTCGTCTAAATGGTGACATAATAGATTCACATTTTCGATCATTAAGAATTGTCACTTGAGCACGATACTCAATTGTAGGGATAATAAGAGCGTTGAATACATATTGCAATTGTTTATCAGAAATCCTCTTATGTTTAATATTATCGATCAACTTTTTAACTTCTGATTTAGCTTGACTAAGCACGAAATTTTTATCATCGTTGACATTGAACTAAACACCTAATATTCTAATAGATTTACTAGGAGCTTTAGGTTTAATATTAATGTATTCTGATCCAAATCTAATCATTAAACTATTCGAATAATTAAATGATTGTCTATTTTTTTCAATAATAATTCAGACTTGTCTTTATTGATTTTAATGTCATTCAAATTATAAAATTCATTTGCTATATCTAACATTGTTTCCAGCTGAAGTTGATCTTTTGCCAATAACGTGGTATTATCTATATACGCCTTTTCTGGAAATATAATTGATTCTTTAATATAATCAGAATAAATATCTTTTTTATATTTTGCAGTAATTTCGTAACCATGACTTTCTTGTTGTAATTAACAAAGTAAAGGATCGTAATATATACACCAGAGGAGTGGTGAAATAATCTCTCTCTGGTCTATTCCTGTTAAAACATTATAAGGATTAGTTTTACCAATTGCGGTAAAAACTTGATTTTTTCGTTCTAAGAATAAATCACAAATAATTGAAATAAAATTATTTGGTAATTTCAATTTTTCCATTGCTTTTTTTAACATATGAATGTTAAGGCCGCTCAAATCCAAACCTTTGTTTAACATAACCCCCTCCCATTGGACAAATAAAGGACAGTTGAACAACACATATTTTATCAATTTGATTGGTTAAAATTAATCACGTGATTTATAATCAGATCATTAAAATTGACCATTAGATCAGCTGTGTTTTACCAATAGATCAGCTGTGACTTTTTATTAACATATAAATATACTTTTTCAATTTTGTACCCAATATCTTTATTGCACAATAGGTTTCTTTGTTGTATGTGTGTACTTAAAGAAGCAAAAACAATCGTTTCAGATAAGATTGTAAAGGTGTTGCTTATATTACAGATTGTTGCCAGTTTTACAACGTATTTAACATAGCAACAAATAACCAGTTTAAAAATTTAGGAGGTATTCAAGTATTTTTAAGAAAGCCTCCAGAAAAGTGGGTTTATGTAGAAGAAGGACTGCAGGGTGATGTATCTATGCACTAGTCGAAATAGTCCAATTCGGCCAGATTTCGTATAGGCAAATTTGGCCTGAATTATGGCTGAAATTTGGCCGAAGTTAGACAAATCTCTTAACCAAAAGTTTTTATCAAGTGTTACCATTCAGACTGCCACTCGTCTAAATTTTAGCTAAACTTCGGTAGATTTTGATCTACCATTCGCATGACTTTCAGAATAAAAAATCGTATAACTTTCAGATAACATTCATTATAACAAATACTTAACATTCGGTCAGCTTTTAAACGCAATAAATTGTTATTTATTTAATAAAATATTTAATACTATATATTTAATACTAATTTATACTAATTATTATAATGTTCAATTTATATGCTACGCTAATAATAATGTATTATAAGAATGTCCTATTTATATAATATAACACCTTCAAGACGACTTTCATCATCAACTTCATTCACAACGCTAATTTTTTGATACAATAAACAAATAAAATAAAGGTTAAAGCAAAATTATACCAAAATAACATCGAACATTAAATTTTAGCGAAATAACATCGAATGTATATAATAATTACCAACACTCCATTAAAACGTGTCTGCATCATCGTACATATAATCATCGTATATACTCTCGTATCCTATATCGGAATCACATTATTACCATTTCCTGGTTCTACATACGTCCATTGTGGTGCATCGTTCGGAGGTTGGACGTCAAAATTTTGCAACGTATCGTCATAATTTCTACGTCTGGTTAGTTGTGCGTTTTGTTGTGTAAATAAATAAGGATCCAATACTTCCCTAAAAAAAGTTTTTAACTAGAAAGAAACAAGTTAGTGTAAATCTATAAATTACTATAATAAATCGAAAGTTAGTACATACCTCCGATGATCTCCATGATCGATTATACACAACTATTTGACATTTTTCCGACGCATTTTCCTCATCCGTTTTACTCAACTCCGGTGAATGATATCTGATATCTTGAATGATATTGATCATCTCTTGTTTTTCATAGTGAGTGATTCTCACGTTGTCTTTATCATATAAAACTTTGGCAGCTTTTAGTTGACGAATTTTTTTCTAAACGCAAAATAACATGGGTAAAACGTTTATATTTAACTAAAAACAACCAAAATTCTTACGTCATTCATCCTCCTATTTGCGTGTAGACAATGATCGTTACTATTGAGTTTTCCCTTCTTCTTGTAATTATTCCTACTTCGTCTAGATTTATGCAATGACATTAGCTATTTCGTTAACTTATCGTAGGTGGTGTAATAACCGAAAATATAATAGATAAATGACGCAGTAAATCCTGTGGCGCAGTAGGTCACATGATATGGTTACACAAGAAGAAACAGTTGGGAATACAAAAGTCACGTGACAAGTCACATGGCGCAGTAAGTGACGGATAAATATTTAGCCGATGGATAAATAATTAGCCAATAAAATTATATTTATAGTTTAGTTTAGTGTAACGAGAAAGTCATATGATAATACATCTTTTATTTCTTATTATTCTTAGAATTTTAATAGAGAAAAAGTAGTAGATAGTAGAAATGATTTTCTTAAAATGTATAAATACAAGTGGATTTCGATAGGAAATTCCAGAGTTCAATTTTTTAGAAAAATAAAAAATTTTTAATTCGCCCTTAATAAAAACTAACACATTCTTTTTGCCTTTTTCTTATGAGTAAAAAGTGCCACATTAATTATTTTAATTAATGGTTTATTAATGTTTTGTAACTAATTTTTATTTTAAACCAAGCATAGAGACTACATGAACTCAACACGTCGGTGGCAACATACGATATTTTATTTTAATGTCCTATGGGCGGCGTATCACATTTTTGGTGCATGCTCATGAGAAAATAAAAGATTGTTGTCTTCATACAAGATCTAAATGAGAAATAAAAGAAAAGTATATGAGAAAATGAAAGAAAAATTTGTGAAATTAATAAGAAAGGAAAGATGATATGAGAAATCATCAAAGAAATATAAGAAAGGAAAGATGATATGAGAAATCATCAAAGAAATATAAGAAAGGAAAGATGATATGAGAAATCATCAAAGAAATATAAGAAAGGAAAGATGATATGTGAAATCATCAAAGAAATATAAGAAAGGAAGGATGATATGTGAAATCATCAAAGAAATGATAAGATAAAGAAGACTTATCTGAAATATGAGAAAAATGTTACTATATATGAAAAAGATATAGTAAAAGTAATATTATGAAAAAGGAATATTACAGAATATATGAGAAATGAAAATATACAATATATTGAAAAAGTATATATCGAAAAGATAAATGAAATATTCAAGATAATAATGAAAAGATTTAAAATTGAATGAAAATAAAAATTTATAATGAGAATGAATTTTGTGAATAATAAAAAGTTAATAAATGATTGAAAAATTTGAAAAGTATTATAAGAAAAGAAAAGTTATTAGTAACAAACCCGTAAACTACTATACTTCTATGAAGAAGGTAAAGGCAAGCCCGGTACAGGTTACTAAATGAAAGAGAAAATTAAAAGATATTGTAAATATGAGAAATATTGAAATGTTATTATTTAATATATGAGAAATAATTTTATTACGATAAAAAGAATGATATGAAAGATTATAAAAGATAATAATGAATTATATGAAATAAAATAATATAATAAAAGAAATTATGTAAGCATGTTGCGTAAACAAAATGAAATGTGAGAAGTAAAATAATATGAAATAGAGTTGAAATAAATATTTTAGAAGTTAATATAAGAAAAAGATTAAGAGTTATTAAAAAGTTTAATTTCGTATATAAAACTGGGAGAACCCCAGTATAAATAAGAGCACACTGGGAGGACCCAGTATAAATAAGCCTTTGTTAGTGATCATATTAGTCTGATACTGGGTGGCCCCAGTTATAAATAATCCCTAGCCTTGATCACAGTTTATTTGCGCAAGATATAGAAAGTTTATAAATAAAATCGCGATTATAAATTATAAATTATATTATAGAATGTATAAAGAAAGTATAGAATCAAAGCTGGAACTTTGAAAATATTAAAATTTAAATTGTATTTTAAAAGAAGTAAAAGATAAAATAGTAATCTAAATGATGATAAAATTTTATAAAATATAAATAAAAGTGAAATTATGAAATGTTTAAGTAAATAAAAAAATGTCTGATATATACGATGAGTTAGAAGAGATTAAGAATAGACATGAAATAGAGAAACATAATGAATTAAGAAAAGAATATCAAGTGGACCCTTCATGTCTAAAATGTTATAGTACTGATGAAATAGAGATAGAAGATTGGTTTAAAAGATTTTGGAAGATTTTTCAAAAAGTAATATTAGAAGCGATGAGTTATAACAGAAATACATATGTAAAATTAATGGAATACATAGTACTAACAAGAAAGGATGGGGAAGAAAGTTATCCATCTAGTAAAAAGAAAAGAAATAGAGAATTTGAAAAAATAAGAAAAGAAGGGGAAAAACTGTTAGATATAGTTGTAAGGTCAATTAGGTATAGAAATAAATCAGATTACAGAAAAATGGGAATTATATCAGTGATAAAAGTGATCTGTGAACATTACATATTGAGTGAAGATAATGAGTTTATATTAGACGATCGAACAGAAGAGAATCTATTAGGAAATAGGGAATTGTTAACATATAGATATATTATAGAAGATAACGAATTAGATATAAGATTTGCAAAATTTGAAGAATGGGTTAGACGAAATAGAATCAGTAACCATTAAAAACAAAGGATATGGTACTATGAGATATTTCAAAGAAATATTGCATTTAGAAGAAAATATAGTAGAAGAAGAAAATAGAGAGAAAGTCAAGAAGTTTCAGAAAAGTATAACATAT